TAGGTAGGCTTACCTATGTCTCTCAGGGTATGTGAATTTTTCATACACTTGAGCGGCATAGCTTAGGAGTAAACCGGGCCAAAGGTGTAAATGTTTCACAGGCCTTGAGCTGGCTTTCTGCACAGGCGTGAAGTTCAGCCACTGAGAATTAAAAGATAAATCTGAAATGACGTTTCGGCATTCCACTCTCCCCCTCCCCAGCTTGAACTATAAAACAGCCACGATTTGTTTTTGTTTCAAAATGTGTCTGAATAAATCCGGTTTACTCTGAGGTTGAAACACTGCATGTCAAGTGCTGACATGGAGAAAATGGTGATGGCCCAGCCCAAACCCCACATCTTATTTTACTACTTTCTATGTTTTAAATTAAACTATAAACAAACCATTGCATACACTCCATGGCAGAACAGATAGGCCCCAGGTTTTATTTTTAGTCTGGAAAGAAGTCTTTATGTGTGCATATGTACCATTTAGATCGTAGAATCAAGGAGAATATATTCACTTATCATGCACCTATCACCCCATCACCTGCAGTCTACATCTACAGTCCCTCCTTCCACACCACTTCTAATGTTCGAAACCTCTGAGTGGCTCCAAACAGATGTTGGGTTTTTTAAATCAAACTGACTGAGAAATAGTTCCTCCTTTCCCTCCAAAAGTGGATTATTTCCCACAAAGTTACACTGATCTGAGCCCCAAGACAGGCAATGTTCAATACTGTACCAGTCACAGAATGGGGTTCAATTACCAGGGGAAAGCGTCCTGACCTCACAGCATGTTCAGCCAATGGGAATGTGTTTTGATGATGTCCTGCTTGTGACTGGAGGCCCTCATGAAGAGTGTTGGTGGATCGGATTTCTCTAGAACCAATCAGAAATGGAAATTTGCCTCAGGGCTTTACATTTATTCCAGACACAGTAAAGCTATTTTTATTAAGTTTTTAACAATGGCTAGAGTGGACCAGGATAGCTGAAGTGTGTCTTAAAATAAAACGTGGAGGAGACTATGTGGATGAGGTGTGAAATTCACCCCTGTACAAAGTGTTAGTATAAGTCCTTAAAACAGGGCTTAAGTTGAATTTAAATGGTGCTTTGGCCCCATGTCATTTTCTGCATAGGGATGAATTTTACAGAGGAAACTATAGTTTTTACTTTTTAGATTAGAAATGAGTTAAATGAAAGACTACTCCAAATTCAAATTACGTAGCCCAAAATTCAAATTGCGTAGACCAGTGATCTCAGTAAAAGGATGCTTTTGAAAATTCAAGGCTTGGAGTAGATGCATATGCAAATTTCAGTTTGGCAGCACTCAGATGTCATAGCTGGGGTGAGGACCCTTTGGAAATCTGTTCTAGTGTGCCTTTTGTACCAAACACACATTAAACACCTTCCCACAAACAGAATATTTTCCCTTAAGAGAACCTCCCTTCCCATCCCTTTTGGATACTGTTTTGTGTGTTTGGTACAAAATAGCAATTAAAAGCAACTGGATTGGGATTTGAAATGAAATGGTTTGCATCTTTAAATTCTTGGATGATTATTTTTTTATAACTTGCTTCTGAAAACTAGAATTTGCTCCAGGTTCCAGAGCTACTTTATATCAGGCTCTACCAAAATGTAACCAGTTCTGCATGCCATGTGAATTCTTCTCTGTCTGTTTGCCTTTTATTTGGTTAAAAAACTGAAAAAAGTTCACTGGGTAACATTGTTCTAAGAAGATTAAAACACCATACAAAATCCTTAGAATGTGTGCGCATAAAGGAAAACAGAATCACACTTTTTGAAGATTACTTCCAAAACTAACAAGTGAGTAGGCGGAGAGAGATTTTTTTTAATGTATTGCTTGGGATTCTCTTACACAATTTTTTGTCCTTTTTTTTTTTTTTTTAAATTAACTACAGCATCACAAGACTTTGAGTTGAACTGAATTGTTTTACCCTATTTTTTGCTTTATGAAATCTGGAGACTCTTGACAATATATTGTTGTACAGGAGTGATCCAAACTCTGCTTCAAAAGGGTTACTCCAAATTTAATCCCTGTCATGTGAGAGCAGAATTCAGCCCGGTGTTGCTTAGAGAAAGAGAGAGAGGGGCAGACATATGTCATACAGTTGTAGCTGTGATGTGGAAATATAAAAGAGTACTGATTCCAAGCTATAACTTAGTGACCATGGCCCTTATATTACCATGAAGTGATGAAAGCAACATCACATTCAGTTATAGCAATCAAAATTGCATGTTTGTTTGGGAACACAAATGAGCAATTCCTTTGCTTCTGTATGAGCATGTGGATGGCATGGTTCTTGTGTGGAGTCTTGTAGTTGGGTTTCTCACATGACATAGTGACAGCTGCTCACCAGCCTAGGGAAAGGCTGAACCATAAAGTTGTTTGCAGTGTTGTTGTAGCCGTGTTGGTCCCGGGATATGAGAGAGACCAGGTGAGTGATATTAATCTTTTATTGTACCAACAGAAGTTGAACCATAAATGGCATTTGAAATTACTGTAGAATTCCAAGCCACGCTGCTGAGCTGGATTAGACTTTGCCACTGGAGAATCGCTGTGCTCCAAAGCACAGTTGTTTAAAATTAACCTATTAAGGCCCGATTCAGCAAAGTATGTCACACATGCTTAAGTCCATCCTTATCTAACAAAGTGCTTAAAGCATGTGCTTAAAGGTTGGCCTATATTTAACCCCCTTTGAAGTCTGTGAGACTTAAGCAGATGCCAAAGTGAATCGGGACCTCAGTCCCTTATCTGTTTAGGAGATTGTTGTAAATCAAATTACAGAAGATATGAACGGTTTCAGAGTAGCAGCTGTGTTAGTCTGTATCAGCAAAAAGAAAAGGAGTACTTGTGGCACCTTAGAGACTAACCAATTTATTTGAGCATAAGCTTTCGTGAGCTACAGCTCACTTCATCGGATGCATAGAATGGAACTAGTTATGCGACCCCCGAGCATGCTCAAATAAATTGGTTAGTCTCTAAGGTGCCACTAGTACTCCTTTTCTTTTTGCGAATACAGACTAACACGGCTGCTACTCTGAAACCTGATAGTAAGAAGATATTTATACAAACAGAGAACATGAAAAGGTGGAAGTACCCATACCAACTGTAAGAGGCTAATTAATTAAGAGGAGCGATTATCAGCTGGGGGAAAAAAGCTTTGGAAGTGATAATCAAGATGGCCCATTTCAGTCAGTTGACACGAAGGTGTGAGGATACTTAACATGGGGAAATAGATTCAATTAGTGTAATGACTGAGCCATTTCCAGTCTCTGTTCAAACCTAAGTTAATGGTATCTAGTTTGCATATTAATTCAAGTTCAGCAACTTCTCCTTGGAGTCTGTTTTTGGAGCTTTTCTGTTGCAAAATTGCCACCTTTAAGTCTGTCGCTGCGTGATTAGAGAGATTGAAGTGTTCTCATACTGGTTTTTGAATTTTATGATTCCTAATGTCAGATTTGTGTCCGTTTATTCTTTTGCATAGAGACTGTCCAGTCTGGCCAATGTACATGGCAGAAGGGCATTGCTGGTACATGATGGCATATATCACATTGGTAGATGTGCAGGTGAACGAGCCCCTGATGGTGTGGCTAATGTGATTAGGTCCTATGATGCTGTCACTTGAATAGATATGTTTCAGAGTGCAGCCCAGTTAGTCTGTATCCGCAAAAAGAAAAGGAGTACTTGTGGCACCTTAGAGACTAACAAATTTATTTGAGCATAAGCTTTCGTGAGCTACAGCTCACTTCATTGGATGCAAAATATATGTGGACAGAGTTGGCATCGGGCTTTGTTGCAAGGATAGGTTCCTGGGTTAGTGTTTTTGTTGTGTGGTTGCTGGTGAGTATTTGCTTCAGGTTGGGGGGCTGTCTGTAAGCGAGGACTGGTCTGTCTCCCAAGATCTGTGAGAGTGAGGGATCATCTTTCAGGATAGGTTGTAGATCTTTGATGATGCACTGGAGGGGTTTTAATTGGGGGCTGAAGGTGACGACTCGTGGCTTTCTGTTATTCTCTTTGTTGGGCCTGTCCTCTAGTAGGTGACTAAGATATGAAGTTATCTGGGTGGCAAGGAGACCAGCTGGTAACAGCACTGTCTTTCCAGAGATTTACTGCAACTATTCAACTGCTCTGATTGAGGAGTAGTAGGACTAAAGTCAGTGTCTTTGCACAGGTTCTCCTAGACCGCAGCAGTATCCTGGTGCTCAGGACTCCCCTTCTCATGTACACTCAGTCAAGGGACAGACACAATTTGATCTAATATGTTTAATGACATTTAAAAGCCATGTAAGGGATGAAGTGATTGTAAATAATAAATCAACCTTTACTCAGGTTACTTACTGTGCATTTCCTTTGGGAATCCTAGAAGGGTAGATTTAAAGGATAGTTAAGATTGCTAAGGCCCCAATCCTGCAAACACTTATTAATGCATCTGACTTTATGCGACTACTCTGGTGAGCGAAGCTGAGCATCTGTGTATGTGTGTGCAGTATCGGGGCCTAAAGTACCATGCTATATGTTGTCTCTGTGCACAGCGGAACTCCTGTTGCTGTCAGTGGAAATGATGCAGGGCAATAGGTGGCCCATAGAATCTGGGTAAATGATAAATTCTTGTCCCTATTGTTTTGAAAAATAAAGGCCCAGTTCTGAAGTTGAATTACATGTGGGATCCATCCTGGATTCTGTGCTGCTCTGCTGGGTGCTTTAAAAATCCCTGACAGATCTAAGCACCATGCCTGAAGGGAATCATCTTATTCTTCCCACCATGCCTTTGTTTCTTTTCACACCCTTTCATACTCTCTGTTATATATTACTTGACCTCCCTTATTTTATTGTTCTCTTGAGAAATATTATTGAATCTTGAAAAAGTGATAAGATCTATTAATATCCTTAACAATGTACTAGATCTAATCTAGAGCCTCTTTTAGAGCATGATTGAAATAACTGCATTCACAAATTAATCTCCTTTTGTAATCTGGTATCTTTGCTTCCCTTTTCAGGGGCCCCTTGGTTTGGATGGCAAGCCAGTAAGTAGTGCGTTAAGTGTCAAATGTACTATTTGTTTATTTCTAGTTACTCCATGAGAGACACACATACAGAGCCAAATATTGTAATAATGGCGCTCTGCAGTATGATTATTTCAAAGTGCAGTACAGCAAGGTCACTCTGTGCTTTGTAACACAGACTGACTTCAGGATTTACCAGTTTAGGCCCTGATCCTGCATCTGGGCAAATTGCAGCACTTGGGTGAAATCCCAGTGACTTCAGTGGGACCAATCACAGTGTATAAAATTCAGCACTTTTGTAAATCTGTCCAGAATCGGGGCCTCTGTGAGCTTTTACTCTGAAAGGTGACTGTAACGTAACGCTGTCATTCTGGAGTTCTGTGGTTTTTGACTCTCTGTCATTTTTATATACAGTGTGCTGAGTTTACAAATAAAAAGATGTACCTTTCTAAGTGCCAGCCCTATAAACTCAATTAGGGATTGGTTGGGAAGCAAAGTTGGATTCTTTCCTCTAGTAAAACAAATTATGCCCTCAGTAACATCTGATGAACCCCATTGTTTTCCATGCATTTGCACAGATTGTAAGGAACTTAAGAAACAACTCCACTGATGCATCAGAGGGAACAAAATCAAGTGTACACTCTTAGCTGGGTGCTAATGGGAGTAAAAAGTGTCAATAATTTTTTTTAATTGCAAAAGTGACCAGTCTGTCTGTATGCACACACTGCTGAATAGGAGTGTACATTTCTCCAGAGTGGTTTGGAGCTGGTCTCAGGGTGCATGATTATTGAAGTAGCATGTTGTGAATTATTGGGATGGGGCACAGTCTGGAATCCATTTTTACGCGATGTTTTCTTGACTTCTTTCTTTTGCTTGGAAGCCTATTGGAAATCCAGGTACATGTCTCCTTATTGTCTTTACAAAATCAGAGCCTTTTGATAACATGCTAATTGAACGTTGGTCAGTTATGATTTTTTTCAGAAAGGATATTTAAGAACTGTTACTTGTGTGTATTTTGTTTTCAAACTACATTTCCTTCCACGATCACTAGAGGGCCGCATTTGAAATCTTTTTAAGCTACATATCATTAAGTGACTGTATTGAGAAAGCTAGTAGAGGCCAATTTCATTCATGCAAAGTCGTTCTAGATATTTTGTTAGCCACTTTGCGAATGTTTCATTATAGCTGCAAATATGCTCTATTTCTGTTGCTACATTTAAAAAAAACAAAAAGACTACTAGTAGAAAACAATTGGGGTGGACCAACCAATTAGACCAGTACGAGAGTCTCTTTGCCCACAATTCAACCAATCCGGAATTGAACTTTTTTTGACGTTTGAAAAAGTTGGTATATGTTTTTATATATAGACACACAAAATTAATTTTCTGTGCTGTTCTCAGTATTTTTTGGCCTACCTGGAAAGAAAAAAAAGAGTAGAAGTTTCGTGAAAGAGGCAGGTCTCGTGTGTTTTCCAGCCCTGTTTTCAGGACACAAAGGATAGGATTTTCAAAGGGGCTGAAGAGACCTAAGGGCCAGATTTTAAAGGTAGCTAGGTGCCAAAAGCTGCAGGTAGGTGCTTAGTGGGATTGTCAAAAGCATCTGGGCACCTAACTTCCATTGATTTCCATTGGATTTAGGTGCTTTTGAAAATCCCAGTCGGCACCTATTTAGGCACCTTAATACCTTTACAAATTTGGCCCTAAATGCCTAACTTCCTTTGGCTCCTTGGAAATTTCAGCCAAGAACTTTGAACAGATTTCCCTGGGCTCCTTTGTTGTCAGCATACACATGGAATTGAATGTTTGCAGGATAGGACTCTGAGTGAGGAGAGGGGCGTGAAACCCACGTGTATTATAGTGTGATCTACTTTTTGTACAGCCCAATAATTCCTTTGGTCCACATAGTAAACATCCACTGGCATATGGAGAGGCCGGATGTCAGGCTAGATCATCGTAATGGCTGCTTCTGGCCTTAAAATCTATGCATGTCTGTAAGCAGGATGTCCATGTGTAGAGCAAATATAGGCTATAACCCCAATCTTGCAACAGGCTCCAGAGGCATGGACTCTCCTGCAGAATTGGAGCTCATGTCCCATACTTGTTGTTCTCAGTTGGTTCCCCCATGAGAAACATTTGATGGTTATTATTTTCTTTAAAAAATTAAATTAAAATTACAGGGTTTGCTTGGACTAAAAGGAGAACAAGTGAATCTGATTTTTCTTTTTCCAAATCATGTTAATTTCTCTATCACTAATGCTTTTAATTTCAATAAATGTTTAAAATGTAAAAAATAAAAAACCCAAAAAAAACATAGCAATAGACTTAGACTGGAACCATTTTACGTACTCCAAACCCACCTCACACTTTGGTGGCAGTGAGAAGGGTGAGAATGGTTACTGGATGTGAATAGCTTGAATTAGTTTTGCAAAGCCAACCCCCTCTGGCTTTTGCCCATCCCTACAGAGAACACATGGGAATAGAGAAAAGGCAAATGCGGTGTTTAAAAAGAAAAAAAAAATCTAAACCCAAGAAACTGGGGGCCCAGGTTGTGCAACATGCTGAGCATTCTACTGTCCAAATGGGATCTGGCCTTAAATTAGCAAAACCCTAAGGCAAAAGAAGACCCATAAATTAAAAGAAGAAACAGAAACCAAAAACACATACAACATGTACTACAGGGCCCATTCTTCTCTCTGTGCGTATGTTGATTCTGATGGTCGGAAGTTCAATGCAAGCCCCAAGGCTGGAAGAGACTCCTCTGGGGAGGCAAAAACCAAACTGAAAGAAAAAGCAAACCTAGCACATCAAATGGCTGTACTCAGACCAGGCCGCTCCTGAGCTTGTCCATGGAATGCCCTTGAAAGTAAGGGGCCAACACTATTGCCTGAGGCCAGACTTGCAGCGAATGGGCTGCAATGCAAGTAGGCGAATGCTTCTGCCATTGCACCTCCCTTTTGACCTGCTGTCTCCTCTCTACCCTGTGGCACATGAGATCTTGCTTTAGCTAATGCTCATGCCATTCACTGTGCTGAATGGAAATGAAATTCTTCTTTTGCCTTAAACCTTGAGTGAAACACACATCAGAGCATTTTTCATGGCTCTTTGGGGCTCTAACTCCCTCTTCCTGTCTATCTCAGACAGAGCTATTTTGAGGGAACAGCAAATAGGCCAAAGAAAGCAGCCTGCCCTCCTTATATGTTTTGAACAGTTGTATAATTGGGAATAACACACCTGTAATGACGTACTGAGCATGTGTTTCTAGAAATGATTTTAATAGCTCAAGCAATGTCTTGTTTATAGTAGATATCAATATCATGCGTGCTTGAAATGCAGATTAAAAATGCTTTTTCTGTTATTTTAGTCTGGGGGTTTCCTGCTGATGAGAGGGAAACAGAATGGTTGATCTTATTGATGCTTCATTAGACATACAACTTTTATGTAAAAGAACATGTAGCTTAATAAAAAAGAAAGAGAAATAGAGTTGAATGGGAATCAAATTGTGAAACAAAGAATCTTCTTTCTAGTCAAGACATGGAACAAAGATGTGTGTGCTGATTATATATGCAGCTTTTTTATTCTGCTCTCACTTATATTTACAGGGACCTCCAGGACCAAAAGGGGAAAAGGTAAAGACTAAACTCATCAAAATGCATCTTTAAAAACCCTCTACACTGCATTAGCAAATACTTATTGTTTCCTGGGCACTGGGATTTTTTTAGTTCAGAATACCCTTATATGGTATAGTCCTGTCTTCTAATTGTTTCATAGTGGAGCATGGAGCCATAAGGCTAAATTCTCCCTTTACCTTCCCATGCAAAGGGAAAAGTTACAGCAGGAAATGCTCTGAAATGACAGGGTAGAAATAGTGTCACATTCTCTTCAGCGGGGGAAAGAATTAGCAGATGCTAACTCTTCCAAGCGATAAGTTTCCTGGTGGTCCCCACATAACCTGATACATCCACGTGCCATCCTTTTCTCCAGCAGCACAGATAGCTTAGTGGCTGTGCTCTCCTATTTCTATGTTATGCTCTGTCTCTCCCACTGAGATTTAGAAAAGTTGTTACAATAAACTATCTTAGCCCAGGCACCATTGTTCCATGTAGGTTACAGGCAGTGGCTGTGGGAGCCTTAGAAATGGAAAATACCTGGAGTTTCTGCTCATCTCCTGCCAATGCAGAATTGTTCCCTGTCAAATTGTCTGAAGGCCTTATCCGACCTGGTTTTGAATGAATTAAGCTATGGGGCTCTTTCCATTTCCCCTGGGGAACGATTCCACAGTCTACTGCCTCCCACTCTGTCTTGCATGTCTGAGATTTGAGCTCTAATTGCTGTACCTTGCTGCTTTGTGTGACATGTAGGGTGAACAAGGGGACATCGGCCCAAGGGTAAGTACCAATAGCACTCATTCATTTATTTTTGAGGGGGGATTTGATAGCTGCTTTGAACTACCTGAGGATGGCTCTAGACTGTTCTCAGTGGTAGCAGATGACAGAACAAGGAGTAATGGTCTCAAGTTGCAGTGGGGGAGGTTTAGGTTGGATATTAGGAAAAACTTTTGCTCTAGGAGGGTGGTGAAGCACTGGAATGCGTTACCTAGGGAGCTGGTTGAATCTCCTTCCTTAGAAGTTTTTAAGGTCAGGCTTGACAAAGCCCTGGCTGGGATGATTTAATTGGGGATCGGTCCTGGTTTGAGCAGGGGGTTGGACTAATGACCACCTGTGGTCCCTTCCAACCCTGATATTCTATGATTCTAAAACACAACCAAACCCCACTGTGGTAAAGGAAAGCAAATCTATGTGTAATATTTGTCAATGCAAACTGTAATGCAGTGAAGGTTTAGAAAATATTCTGCCATCACTATTGAATCTTGGGCATCATTTTTCTTCCCCAGATAATTATGGTCAGGAGACATGAAAACTTTAGTTAAGAACCTTCAGTCCTATGAGCCCAGGTCACTTTTGTATTGGTTTCCCAATATTAGGTCTTCTTTTCTTTGAGAAAGGAGAACAAAGAAATACCAGCAGCTTCCATGTTTCACTTGAGACAACTATTGTTCTTTGTATTGTGGTCATACCTAGAGTTGTCAGTCAGAGATCAGTGCCCCCTCTGTGCTAGACACTGTACCCATATGAATAGTGAAAAAGACACTGTCCCTGCCCTACAGACTTTACAATGCAAGTACATGATGAGAGACAGCAAGTAGATACAACAGACACATGCAGGAGTGTGAGGTACCAGTAGGGTTACTGGTGTTATAAGTTTGTTTCGTCTTCTCTCCTCTCAGGGTCTCTTCCATTCTTGTGTATTCTTTCCATGATCTATTCTCACTCCCTCGTAATTGCTCTGGGCTGCTTCTCATTGAGCATAAAGGTAACCAACCCAAGTGAGGAGAGAAAACCGTTTCTGCCATAATGTGTGGAAATTAATGACAAGTTGTGGGAATGACACTAACGCATATTGTTTCTAACCTGTGAAGTAAATCATTGAAAATATGGGATCAATCCTCTAGCTAGAACAGAGCCGCTGGTTACAGGTATGGTAAGTGAAGGCTCAACATGTCAAGAAATAAGACATGATGTGGTGTGGGTGCCATCAGACACGTGCTTTCCACAGTACTATGTTTTACTCAGGTGAGTAAAGGTTTAATTAGCCTGCAGTGTATAAACACAGGCTGAGCTGGAGTTCTTATGTCTGCTGGAGGTGCCTGGGAACGCTCAACGTTGTTAAATTAGCGTGCACCTCTCTAAACCTAGAGGCTGACGCAGAGAGAGTAAACTAGGAGTTGGCTGTTGGAAGATGGCTCGTCTGCTGCTTTGATGTGTGGTTTCTTGGAATCTTCTTTTTGTGTTTAAATGCAGGGTAGGCACTTTGCGAAGGAAACCCATATGGGTCCTTCCTGATTATTAAATATACAACATTCTCCTTTGCACAGCTGTGTTCAGACTGAGAGTCTCTTACATTCTGGTGGCTTTCCTTTGAGGCTGGAAGAGGTTGTTGTTAGCGGTGCTGTCACTTTCAGAAGATCCAGGACCCCAGGCTTCCTCCAGACTCTCCATCTGTGGAGTCTCAGAATATCCCACACTGCTCTGATTGTACCACATAGTTAATATTGTCATTTTAACGAAGAGTATTAATTACTGCTAGCTAGACAGCATGTGAGCTGGTCACAGTCTGCGCATGGGGAGCCGAGAAACAAATTCCCACCGATCGTCAGATCACAATCAAAGATGCAAAGGCCTTGAAAAAAATTGCAACAAAACAAGGGCAGCCCAGATACCCAGCAGCATACGGTGTTAGGTGGCCCTTGAGATTCAGATGTGAACTTTGGTTAGCAGTTGCTGGGATCAGTGTGCTCAGCAGGAAGGGTAGAGTCTGTACCAACACCTCTGTGCTGTATTGGGAGTAGGCATCCAGAGGGAGCAGTTCCATCCCCCAGAGGAGTGAGCAGCAATCACAATGCAGGGACATGAAGGAGAGAAGAGCGGATAAAGTGAAGGGACCCTTGGGACACCTTCAGCCTGAAAAGGGGAGGGAACTTTATACCACCCAAGTGGCTTTTCCATATTACCCAATTAAAGGAACACTTGTGTGGTAATTACTCTGTTACTGCACAGCACTGTCTGTGGGAAGTGTATTGTGAGGATACGCTATCATTGTCTGTCTAGCACAACAGTTTCTAGGGAAATTGATGGTTGATCTGCAGAGTTCCCTGTTGTTTCCTCACAAGCTTATTCTTGGGAACTTGCTGCAATGAACTGTGTTCTGCAGGAGAAGTGTTTTGGGTGTGTTTCTGACGGGGAGAACAGAGCCCCTGTTAAACTGAGCCAGCAGACTATTAGAATTGTCTAATTCCGGGTGCACCTTAAGAAGAGGGTTTAAAGCTTTGTTGGGTCTTGTCACCACGCAGTGGTGGATTGTGGTATTTTGTGATAGGGTCTTTCAGCATCTTTGGGGTGAAGAATTATCTTTTTTCTTTATTTACAAACAAAATTATTAAGGCTGTCAATTAATCACCTTTAACCCACGCCATTAACTCAGAAAAATTAATCGTGATTAAAAAAATTAATCATGATTAATCACAGTTCTAATCACACTGTTAAAAAATAGGATACCAATTTAAAATTTATTAAATATTTTGGGTCTCCATCCTTAGAGGTTTTTAAGTCCTGGATTGACGAAGCCCTGGCTGGGATGATTTAGTTGGGGTTGGTCCTGCTTTGAGCAGGGGATTGGACTAGATGACCTCCTGAGGTCTCTTTCAACCCTAATATTCTATGATTCTATGTTTTTCTACAGTTTCATATATATTCTGTGTTGTAATTGAAATCAGTATATATTATTTTTTATTACAAATATTTGCACTGTAAAAATAATAAACAAAAGAAATAGTATTTTTCAATTCACCTCATACAAACACTATACTGCAATCCCTTTGTTGTGAAAGTGCAATTTACAAATATAGATTTTTTTTTTTTTACATAACTGCACTCAAAAACAAAACAATGTAAAACTTCAGAGCCTACAACTCAATCCTACTTCTTGTTTAGCCAATTGCGAAGACAAACAAGTTTGATTACATTTACAGGAGATAATGCTACCCTCTTCTTATTTACAATGTCACCAGAAAGTAAGAACAGGCATTGCAAGGTATTTACAAGCCAGATATGCTAAACATTTGTATGCCCCTTCATGCTTCGGCCACCATTCCAGAGGACATGCTTCCATGCTGATGACGCTCATTAAAAAAATGTGTTAATTAAATTTGTGAGTAAACTCCTTGGGGGAGAATTATATGTCTCCTGCTCTGTTTTACCCACATTCTGCCATATATTTCATGTTACAGCAGTCTTGGATGATGACCCAGCACATGTTCATTTTAAGATCATTTTCACTGCAGATTTGACAAAATGCAAAGAAGGTATCAATGTGAGATTTCTAAAGATAGCTACAGCAAGGTTTAAGAATCTGAAGTGCCTTCCAAAATCTGAAAGGGATGAGGTGTGGAGCACAATTTCAGATATCTTAAAAGAGCAACACTCTGATGCGGAAACTACAGAACCCGAACCATCAAAAAAGAAAATCAACCTTCTGCTGGTGGCATCTGACTCAGATAATGAAAATGAATATGCGTCGATCTGCACTGCTTTGGATTCTTATCAAGCAGAACCCTTCATTAGCATGGATGCATGTCCCCTGGAATGGTGGTTGAAGCATGAAGGGACATATGAATCTTTCACACATCTGGCACGTAAATATCTTGCAACACGGCTACAAGAGTGCCATGAGAATGCCTGTTCTCACTTTCAGGTGACATTATCTCCTGCAAATGTAAACAAATTTATTTGTTTTGACCAGTTGGCTGAACGAGAAGTAGGACTGAGTGGACTTGCAGGCTCTCAAATTTGACTTTGTTTTATTTTTGAATGCAGGTTTTTTGGTACATAATTCTACATTGGTAAATTCAACTTTCATGAAAAAGAGATTGCGCTACAGTACTTCTATTAGGTGAATTGAAAAATACTATTTCTTTTGGTTTTTACAGTGCAAATACTTCTAATCAAAAATAAATATAAAGTGAGCATTGTACACTTTGTATTCTGTGTTGTAATTGAAATCAACATATTTGAAAATATAGAAAATACCCAAAAATATTTAAATAAATGGTATTCTACTATTGTTTAACAGTGCAATTAATCACGATTAATATTTTTAATTGCTTGACAGCCCTAAAAATTATATAAACTCCTCCTGTATAACTCAGAGGTGAGACCAGGAATTCACTTACTGGTCTCATGGGAAAGAGATGTAGGAATGATCTTTGTGTTTTTTCTCATCCTCATGAGGAATATTATGCTTTGTGACATCATGCAGAGATAATTGTTTATTAAATGTTTATTGAAAGTTCTGAATCGGAGCTAAAAAATTTAGGGCTTCTTCTGACAAGGTCCTGTGGCACTTGGCGCTCAGCAGAATCAGGCTCCTAAGGTTGGATGTCATTTTATAAACATACCTGGTGTCACAGTGACTGAGGTAAACTGACAATTCAGGCTCCTAAATCAATTGGGACGTTAAGACTTATTTTTCAAAAGTGGATCCTAAGTGCCCAAGTCAAAGTTTCATTGACTTTTAAATGGAGATTTAGGCTCCTAAGTTACTTAGGTCCTTTTGAAATGCTTAACCTGCCATCCCCTGCACAGAGGATCAACACCAGGCTTAGGCACCATTTAAATTCCCATCCAAGTCCTCAAAATATGATCTAAGAGGGGTGTGAGCCTTGTGCTGGATTTGGTTTCTACCCTTTGACCCCGAATCCAGATTGAGAACGCTTTGTGGCTCTGAACAGAAACACCAATCTGTCCAAATAGAGACCCATAATGGCCTGCAT